GTTTAATTAATTTACAGTACAAAAACTATTTTACAGGAGCAGTTAAAAGAAAAGTGGTTAGACTTTACCTGTTAAACCTCCACATGAGCTATAACACCTACATGCATATATTTACCATTTTATGTTAGTGTAAAATATTAAGTAAATAACTTTTTCATATACATGCTCATAAGTTTTGCTCTTATTGTTAATGACAGCCTATTAATGTAGGCTAAAATAAATTAATACTGGTATTGTAGTAAATGCTGGAGACATATCTACAATAGCATGATACTGTATAGCTTTTTGTTAGGTTTTCTAACAAATTCGTGCATTATTATCATTATTAAGATGTTTTATTTCTACACTATTCCACTCCAAACTCACCTAAAATAGTCATTTTCAGCTCTGACTGAACACACAGCAGGTGGATGATGGGCAGAGATGCTGGAAAACATGTTGACCAGCTGTCTTTGAGGACCAGTGTAGGAAGACCCTGATAAACTGCACCAGATTGCTGTGATAACATGACATATTGCTCAAACTCGACTTACTTTTAGCATAACGGCTAATTTTAGCCTACTCAAAGCAACGCCACATCGCTACTGACAATGTGCATCATTTATTTCAGTTTCTTCGAGTAAAACTCAATAATGTTATTAAATGAATACAAACTGTACTTACACGGTGGGAGATTTGTGATAATTGTCCAACTTTTCGCCGCGTCCTCATGTTCTCGTGGTGCTGAACAAAACCGGAAGAAAATGAGATTTGAAAACAGCGCCCTAGTATCTCGCGGCCGCGAGATTATGTTAGTCATATCGCGAGATTTGTTAGCGTTAGGTGCAAAAAATAAATAAAATTGCATTATGGTTTTAGAAACAGTGACGTTACTATCCTTTCACCGCACAGGACACTTTATGAATGTAATTGGTCAGTTGACAAGATGTAAATAAAAGTGATTTCTGTATTTCATAAAGATAAATCTGTTTTTAATGAGTTTAGATGCCTGAAATCTGTCCACGAACCCACTTGAGACACACATATATTAAGTGTATACCCAGATGTAAGTGCAATACTTTTTAATATTTCATAATTTCAGCAAGGGTTTATGATGGACTATAAATGCACGTGTAAAGGACGTCATTTTTGGACTTAATCAGGACATGGTATATATTAAACTACATGTACATTAAATCGTAAATACACGCAACCCCAAATATAAATAGACATGTTTAAATGTATACAAGCATATATTAATGCATTTTAGCACATGTTGTGCATTTGTGCCGTGCGTTCGCGACGAATTTTGGCTGTGGAAAGCACGTCGCTTTCAGACCATCAGTACACAGTTGATGCCGTCGCGGAGCGACATCTTTTGGCCGGGGAGAGCACATCGTCGTCCGACCAATGTTTGCTGGGAAGCTACTGGGAGGCTGAGGCTGCGGATCGCTTGAGCTCAGGGCTTCTGAAGGTGGCGAGGCAGTGGCGCAGTTTCTGTGTGGAGTTTGCATTTTCCCCCTGCCTTCACGTGGGTTTCCTCCGGGTGCTCCGGTTTCCCCCACAGTCCAAAGACATGCGGTACAGGTGAATTGGGTAGACTAAATTGTCCGTAGTGTATGAGTGTGTGTGTGTGTGTGGATGTTTCCCAAAGATGTGTTGCGGCTGGAAGGGCATCCGCTGCGTAAAAACTTGCTGGATAATAGTGAACTATAATGCTATTGTAAGTGAATGATTAGCACAGTTTATTAAAGCATTAGTTCACTTCTATAAAAGTGAGTTTTCCTCCACTAGAGGTCGCTGTGATGATCAGATTCTCCACAGCTCTGATTCTCTCAGCTCTCGCCGGGTTCAGTGGCGCGCGCCTGTAATCCAAGCTACTGGGAGGCTGAGGCTGCGGATCGCTTGAGCTCAGGGTTTCTGGACTGCAGTGGACTATGTCGATCGGGTATCCGCACTAAGTTCGGTATCGATATGGTGCTCCTGGGTGAGCTTGGGACCGCCAGGTCGTTTAAGGAGGAGTGAACCGGCCCAGGTTGGAAACGGAGCAGGTCAAAGCTCCCGTGCCGATCAGTAGTGGGATCGTGCCTGTGAATAGACACTTCAGTTCAACCTGAGCGACACAGAGAGACGCAGACTTTTACCTAAATTTTTTTTTTAAACTTTGATTTGTCTTTCTAACTGTAAAACTGAAGAAATAAAGATTTAGAGATGTATGATGACTATATGCATTATTAATAGTAAGTAATAATTAAAAGTTTACTAGCAGACTTCAGAAAGTTTATTTGTAAACAAAAATACAAAAATCATCTCAATTTCATGTCTATATTTTAAAAATATGCCTTAGACAGAAATATATTGAATTTAATTGAAAATATATCAAATTAAAAAATAAATATAGAGAATAATTTTACTTTAAACATAAATGGCACATTATAATTTTTGGCCCCATCAGAAACAAAAGTAACACACGGGTAGGTCACAACCAGATTTACTGGCTTCATCATGTTTGTTTTAATTATATCTGACTATGACATTGTTAATTTTTTTTTAATACCACCTGATATTGACGGTTAAAAAGCTTCCAGTACAAAATGGCATTTTTATTGATAAATTAGTTATAGAGTATTATGCCAAATGCAGTTTTAATCTAGAAAGTTTTGTTTAATAAAATAGAGGAGGGGGATATATTTAAGAAATTAATAACACTTAAAAATAGTAAAGCAACAGGGTTAGATAATATTCCAGTGCAGTTCCCTCAAAGACTCCCTAAATGCGTCACTCCGATGGTTACACATATTATCAATTTTTCTATTTGTCAAGGTAAAGTTGAAAAAAGCAAGAGTTATTCCTCTTTTTAAGAAAGGTAGTAGGTTTGAGGTTAATAATTCTAGGCTGGTATCAATTTTGAGTGCTTTGTCAAAAGGGAGGGAAAAAGTTATTTATTAGCAGATTGAAAAATATTGTTTAAAATGTGACGTATTGCAGAGTTTCAATCGGGTTTTAGAAAAATCATTCCACTGATTCAACAGTTTCTTTTATTTAACAAATTATATAAAGAGCGATATGGATAAAGGAAGTTAAGTGGGATGGTTTTCTTAGACCTGCAAAAAGCTTTCAATACAGTCGATCACAGGATATTGATTTTAAAAGTAAAGGCAATGGGTTTTGGTGTTTTGGCCTGTAAATGCATGAAGTCTTACCTTGAAAACAGATGTCAAATAGTAGATTTAAATGGTGTGTTTTCAGATTATTCGACCGTTTCTTATGGGGTTTCACAAGGCAGTGTTTTAGGTCCTTTGCTTTTTTAATATACATCAATGATTTGAAAATGGCCCGTTCAAAAAAGCTTTTGTTATTTGTGGATGATGCAGCAATAATTGTGTCTCATGAGAGGAAGGAATTTATTGAAAATGAAAAAAGTAAACAAACTGAGGAAGTCTCTTAATGGTTTAACCTTAATAAATTGTCCTTACACTTGTGTAAACCAGAATTTATTTTATATGGTTCAGCTGCGAAACTGAGAAAATGTGTCAGATCAGAGGTAAAAGTAGAGCATCAAATTAATGAACCCAAACATGAAGGGAAATATTTAGGTTCCATTTCAGACAGTAATTTGACAGGTGAGAAGATGGCTGTTATAGTCCATTCAAAAGTTCTAAAATTAAGTTTTTAGCAAGACAGACAGAGCTCTTAGATTTTCAAACTTTACAAATATTGGCTAGTGCATTAGTGCAGTCATACTTTGACTATGCTGCAGTCTTTTGGTACAGCAGTAGTTCCACAAAAATGAAAAATAAATTGCAGACGGCCCAAAATAAGTTGCAGAATTGTTATCAAAGTACTTCTACTGACACATTTAAATAATGAATATTATAGTCAAACTAATTTATTAAAAGTTGGAAAAAGGGTCACTTTTCTGAAATTGGTGATGGTGTTTAAGATTTTAAAATATTTAATTATTAAGTTTTAGTTAGTGAGGTACACTGTCATTCTACAAGAGCGAGTAGCAGGGGTATTTGTCCTTGTAGATTTAATAGTGAAACAGGTAGAAAGTCTTTTCTGTGTACTGTTGCTTGGAATATACTGCCGAGGAGTTTTAAAGAGATTCAATTTGAGAGTTTTTAGAGAGGAAATTAAAAAATGGCTGTTTTTCGGTTGAAGTTGAGGATTTTTGTTGTGCTGAGTTTCTGAGCTGATGATGTTTGCACTTTATGATTTGCTCGTTCATTTTTTAAGAATATCGATGACCACGATGGAAATCAGCCTGTGGCTTTATTGTGTATTTTATCCTCGACAGTTTTTAAGATATGAATGTCAAACTGGACTTGTTTGTGTATTTTTGTTAAAATTGTCAAATAAAATCAATCAATCAATTTATTCATTCATTTTCATTTAGCTTAGTCCCTTTATTAATCTGGGGTCGCCACAGCGGAATGAACTGCCAACTTATCCAGCATATTTTTTACACAGCGGATACCCTTCCAGCTGCAACCCAGTACTGGGAAATATCCATACACCCTCATTTACACACACACACACACACACACACACACACACACACACACACACACACACACTATGGCTAATTTAGTTTATTCATTCACCTACAGCATAGCACATGGGCTTGGAGCACCCAGAGGATGAACACGGAGAGAACAAACAAACTCCACACAGAAATGCCATCTGACCCAGTCGGGACTCCCACCAGCAGCCTTCCTACAGTGAGGCCATGTGTATATATATATATATAAAGATACATTATTTTTTCCCTTAATAGCTACATTTTAAAGAAATCTATTTGCTTAAGTCAGCTGAACAGTAAACAACAACAGCAATAGAAACCACCAAAGGACACCATATGAACACAGCCAAAATGACTTATTAGAGCATGCACATCTTTGTCATTCCAATGGATTTTTAAAAATATGTACATGCCGCCTTTTCTCTTTCCCCTTAATGAGGAAAACTATTGAATTCTATAAAAGCTGTTCAGCGTTTTATTTTTTTCAGATTAACATTCAATAAACTTAAACTAAAAGTTTTAGATTGTGAGCAGGACAGCACACTGGTTCTCCCGCAGCATGTTTGTTCATCATTTCTATCTTAATGTGTTGATCATTTTCTTTTGTGTTTCTGTATTGTGTGAAGGTCAACCAGTCCACAGTTTATGCTGCTATAATCTTTATTCAGTTTTATTCATAAACTATGTACAATATATACACTGTGCTCACGTCGACTCCAGGTCTCTTGGGTGAAGGTCTCTCAGTGACGTGGTCTCTTCTGGTCGCCGTGCGTCTCTGGTGGAGATGGGGAGCGGGAACGTTTCCCTCTGGCGTCCTGGACTGAAGATGCTGCACCAGCTGAGGAAGAGGAGGATAGTGGCTTGGTCTGGCAGGAGAAGGACGGCCTCTTTTTCTTCTCAGCAGCATAGGCCTCACTGAACAGATCGAGCGCAAACACACACAAGCAGACATAATGTGAGATTTTCACAAACAATAGAACATGCTGCAATGCCAAGTACAGTTTACTCACGCGTCTATGATGGGAATGACGTATTTGCGGCTGCCGTCCATCATGACTCCCTTTCGGTTTGGGTCGTCCACCTCCAACAGGAAGCTGCGGGGAATCCCTGTGCTCCTCCGGATGCGCTTAAGCGGAGCAGAGCTGCTGCCCTGTGAATTCATGAGTGACAGTCAAACTACAGAGCAAACAATCTGACTGATGGAGACAAGAGCTCAAGTTCACAGCAACCATAAGCTTAGAAAACCCAGTTACCCCTTTAGAGGGGCAGTGCCTAATGTGGTGTCCTGGGATCCCACAGTGAAAGCAGACATAGTTGGGTGGAAGAAGCCCAAGCAGTGTCATGGCCTCACTGATGAACATCAGAACCATGAGAATCAGCTCTAACATTTCTCACAAACCAAACCTGTCAGTGTCTGAACGCTCACCTGCTGGAGTAGTAGCACAGACTGGACTGGTACATCACCGCTTTTAGCTTGTCCTCCTCTGATGCCTTTGCCTCAGCCAGATTCTCAGTCTGTTTCACAGGCATTTGCACATTAGAATTTTATTTCACTGATTTGCTCTAAATAAACACCCTCAAATCTCCCTAAGAAGCTGTGTGTGTTTGTGTGTTTGTGTGTATTGTTGTTTGCTAAACACTGTGTATTGATATTCTGCACAACATGTCATTATGACGCCTCAAATGCAAACACTGCAGTTCAATACAGAGCAGCACAGTGGGGTGAATTAATCATTTGTTCAATACCTTCAACAGCTGCTCCAGTGAGAGGAGTGAAGAATCACCTGTTTGAGAAGATTTAGCTGATGGTCCAGCTTGATGTCTGCAAAACAAAACAAAGGAGCTTGTGTGACCAAAACACCACAGACAGACTCAAACTCTTGATATAACATCTATCAGAGGATGATTGCACTCATTTCACATAACTTACCCAACAAATCTTCTGTTGGAGGACTTAAGTCCAGCCGCAGGGACCCGTCTGATGATGACCGATGTGTTTTTAGGGATGAGAGCATCATCATCTGTGTATTCTGACAGCAAAATAAAGTTTGAATATAGTAATAATTATTTACCATGGTATACTTTGAGTGCCATTAGCATTTTAAAACACTCAGAACATCACTATATGTCACCATCAGAGTCATGATAACACATGTCAGCTTCTACAAGTCTGTCTGATAACACATCTAATGTTAGTGTATTATAGTTTAAGTGGCTTTTCCTCATCTCACCTTCATCAGTTTGGGCTTTGCTGATCTTCAGCTGGCAGAACTTCAGCCTCTCGCGCCTCATGATCTGCCGCTTCAGCTCTCCCGCAGTGATGTTGAGGCCCTCAAACTGGAGCGAGTCGTAGGTGAGTCGACTCTGAAACCTGTAATGAACACAAGACATACTGAACACAAAACACAGTGTGATAACAAGGGTCAAACCTGAATGAAGGGAGAAGAAGACGATCAATCGATGTATCCAACAATCAATAATCTGGGAATCAGTTGCCACGAAGGACGCCGAGATCAGATGCCAATGAGCGAAGTTCAAAACAACACAAAAAGAACCGTTGCCATGGATATTGACGATCACGTGACGAGGCGCTAAAAACTTCCGCGTTATTTTCTCATTAATAATAGTGAAATCATTACTATGATAATAATAAAATAAACAGCAGAACAGTTGGCCATCTCTGAATAATAAACAGTGGCGTTTCCTTACATGAATGATTCAGGACTCTGTATAGAGTCGGGCGAGTCACTGAATCAGTAGCTGCGTCCCAAATCGCATACTTATGCACTATTTTACGCCATTTTGTAGTATAAATAGTGTAAGTAGTGTGTTCACATTGAAAACTCTCAAAATAATAAGTGCACTTTAATTACCCGGATGATGCACTCATTCAGCCGGTATAATGAAGTGTGTAATGATGGACACTTCACGCACTCAACGACCGCAGGTTTGCTTACGTAGCGGAAGGGGCGGAGCTATCTGACGCACATGTTGAATAACTTTATTTATTTTGGATGGTGAGAGCAAAATTCTCCTACAAGAGTGATTATAGCGCCTCCCGATGGTGAATGCGGTTATACTCACGGCAGGTATTATTTGATAATTCAGTCGTTTATTTCACTGATTTGGCAACAGTCAAACGTCATCAGGGAAACGGTTTGAATTTCCGCTTAGTAAAAAAACATTAGTGTGCCATTTGGGACAACACTACATACATATACTATCCTGTTGAGTGTGTAAGTGCATAAGTACATAGTGCATGAGTGCATAGTGTATAGTGTGCCATTTGGGACGCAGCTAATGATTCGTGGCTGAATGAATCACTTAAAGCTTCACTCGATTAAAGAGGTCTCTTGCTGCCACCTATTGGCGATTTGTTTTTCCGTTTTAAAGTAATTTAACACTTTTTAAAAACACCTTTAAATGTATTTTCTACAAATGTTCATCTCTGTATGTTAAAATGATTTAAAACTCTCTAAGCTCATCATTTATTTGTTTGCCCTTGATCTTCATTATGTGTTACAGTTTTTTTTCCAATTGTTTTGCCACAAATTTCAGAACCCTGATGTCAATTAAAAAAACTCTAGACACAAAATCCTAAACAGTCACTACTTTTAACACTCTCCAGTGTTCTGCATACAGCATTCATTCCCTTAAAGAAGTCTTGCATTTGCAGGATCATTGATTCACATAATCCTTTTATAATACAAATACTACAGGAACACTACTTTAGATCACCAGCAGCACACAAGATGTACATCGCTTCAATATACAATCATTAACAATCATTAAATATTGTTGTTTAAAATATATGATACAGGTTTCATTATGGTCTATAAGTGTAAAGGGAAACAGTGCAGACAGTGGATATACTGAACTAGTTTTATTCATTCCATCATAATGTTGGTTTACTGTATTTTTTTTTTCTCACTTCACGTCCCCATATAGAAAGCTGATAAATGGCATGATATATGGTCCCATCTGCAAATTACATTATTATAAAATGTCATAATAGTCAATAATTTGTCAAAATAGTGAAAAAAATCATTGTTTATATTATTTTCAACCATATCATATATATATATATATATATATATATTTGTAGGGGTAAAATATATAACATAATGGATCATATATATATACGTAACATATATGTACATATTTGTAATTCTAATATTTTAACAAATGGCAATATTTTGACATGTATAACATATTTTATATATGTAAAATTCATATGAACTATTATGTCACATATGTAATTTGCATATATTTCTATATATCAGATTTCTATTTTGGGATTTTGTGTTACCATCAGTCTGGTCTTGTGGATTTGGTCACGGGTTCTCCTCTACATTTCAGTGGTGTTTTCATTACTCAGAAATCTTGGAAAGAACCTTCTGTCAATGTAAATCCAGGCCTGACATTGGTTTGCTGTGACTGGGCTTTCTTACAGTGATGTCAAATATATAAACATTGTCTGTAAAAGTGGTACACAGAACAAAGAAATCATAAATATGGACTAAGGATGAATAAAGATGACATCTATAGATAATGTAGTTCAGTTGGGTCATCTTCTGTGGTAACTGATGTCATTTGATCTATCCTGATTATTTCATCATCTAAACATGTAATATTGTACATCAGTTTCCCCACATCAACAATAATGCAGCAGTTATTCATCATTTGGAGTGCTTGTATCAGTTGATAATAACATCATGTGAAGTAAATGAATACATGGTTATTTCAATTGTAATGTTTGAGTTGCATTTTGAAATGGGATCAATTTGAAGTTTAATTGTGTTATATTGAAAAGGTGATTTTAGTTCAATGAATAAAGTATGTTTGACTTGTGTGTGTTGTATCCAAGCATTTGAAAAAAGAGTTAAAAGTTTTGCAAAAACGTACAATTTTGGCAAAGGTTGTGAATTTTGTGTCTAGACTTTTAAAAATTGACACCAAAGTTCTGAAATTTGTGGCAAAATAATTGTAAAAAACTGTAATAAAAAAAGAGAAAGGACAAATCTTATAGATGATGAGCACAAATCTGAAAGCATCTGTGGATCTGTCACAATCCACTCATTTATTATCATTACTGTGGGTTTCTTCATCACAAAAATAAGCCCATATACATGTAAATAAATAAAACACCACAAGCAGATTTAAAACATCAGAATCTGCAGAACAAGGATCAGCACTGACCTTTCCAAGAAGAAGAGCGACTGCAGCAGGCTTGAACTGAAAGGCTGATTCATATTATTGAGTGTTTCTAATTCAAAAACTCTTTTGTTTAGGGTTAGTGATTCAGATCTCATTTAATGTTTACAGAATATTGAAAAATGATTTACAGACCTAATTTGCATCAATGAATTAAAACAAAACAAGAAGACTGCAATGAATAATCCCTGATATAAGGATCATTTCTAATCATTTATCAGATTTACCATTGTTTTAATTATTACGAAAAATCTGTGAAATGCAAATTTTACTCATGCAAAAAAAATATTACAGACAATGGATTATCAAATTATGAATTCCTAATAGTGAAGGTGGCGAGGCAGTGGTGCAGTTTCTGTGTGGAGTTTGCATGTTCTCCCTGCCTTCACGTGGGTTTCCTCCGGGTGCTCCGGTTTCCCCCACAGTCCAAAGACATGCGGTACAGGTGAATTGGGTAGACTAAATTGTCCGTAGTGTATGAGTATGTGTGTGGATGTTTCCCAGAGATGGGTTGCGACTGGAAGGGCATCTGCTGCGAAAAAACTTGCTGGATAAGTTGGCGGTTCATTCCGCTTTTTAATAAAGGGACTAAGCCGACAAGAAAATTAATGAATGAATAATAGTGAAGGTATTATACTAATAGTGAACTATATTGCTATTGTAAGTGAATTATTAGCACAGGGTATTAAAGCATTAGTTCACTTCTATAAAAGTGAGTTTTCCTCCACTAGAGGTCGCTGTGATGATCAGATTCTCCATAGCTCTGATTCTCTCAGCTCTCGCCGGGTTCAGTCAGTGGCGCGCGCCTGTAATCCAAGCTACTGGGAGGCTGATCGCTTGAGCTCAGGGTTTCTGGGCTCCAGTGGACTATGTCGATTGGGTGTCCGCACTAAGTTCGGTATCGATATGGAGCTCCTGGGTGAGCTCGAGACCCCCAGGTCGTTTAAGGAGGAGTGAACCGGCCCAGGTCA